CTGGTCCTGAAGGGATCATTCACCCTGGATTCCCTGTGTTTCCAGTTCCTTTCTGTACCAGTGTACATCTTCTGGTCTAGCTGGATTTGTAAGGTAGAATTGGGATCATGATAGTAGGGCGGGGGAGGAAGCATTAAAGAACTAGAGGAAAGTTGTATGTTTCATCCTTGCTACCCTGCACCCTGACTGGCTAGTCTCTTTACGTGAGTAAAAACCCTCTATCTCCCACAAAGTAGGCTGATGGTCTTGAACTGCTGACCTTGTGGATGTGTAACTACTTTGCTACTAGAGCTCCCCTCATGTCCCTGCCATTAGGAATTCTCTCAGAGGCAGGCAAAGAGCCCCTGGAGGGTACAAAGAGTCACTCAGGTGACAACCGACAACTGCTTCGGAACCGCCCGGAGTAGCTGTGCTCTCTGCACACGTGGCCTCCCCACGAGATGCTGTGGGCTCGCCAGCATTTAGGATTTGCCAAGGGAGGCATGGAGCCAGCATTCTGAAGGCTAGAGAGCAGAGACCAATAATAATAATAAAGGAATCCATCATTTCCGTGGTGAACGTAGGTCAGGGTACAGGGCAGTGAGGGTGAGGCTCCTTGGACAAGGTGCACCAGGAGGCCTCTGAGATCCTACCTCAGGGATGATTGAGCTGAGAGTTGGGGGAACGCAGAGAAAAGAGGCATGAAGAAGGGAGGGCCCCAGCGTGGGGGAGGGGCCAGCAAAGCCATCACTGCCACAGAGTCCAGGAGGACTCACAGTGACCCTATTGGACAGGGTACAGCTGCCCCTGTGGGTTCCCAAGGCTGTAACTGTTCACAGGTGTAGAAAGCCCCATCTGTCCCCCGAGAGTGACTGGCGGTTTCAAACTGCTGACCTGGTGATGCCACCAGGGTTCCTGGGGGTGGAGCAGGGCGCCTAAGGGAGGAATTTGGCTTTTATATTTATTTGGGGGGGCTTTTATTTTAAGAGGCCGTGGGAAGGCCGTGGAGGACTGTGGTGAAGGCTCTCTGAGAGAGAGGACTTCCCATAGCCAACAAGACGGCCAGCAGTGCTCTGTGGGGTGGTAAAAAGGGGAAACAGACCGGTAACCTGCCAGGAAAACGAGGAAGAGGGAAAGGCAGGTGGGGGTGAGGCTGAGAAAAGGCACTCTCTGGCTGCTGGGTGGGAGGGGTGAGTGTGGGGTCAAGTCCACTCTGTTCCCTGGCCCTCCCACCTCCGAGGGCCGGTGGGTCATTGTTCCTTCAGGCATCGCGATGGCCAGAGAAGGTCCATGTCCAAGTCAAATGTCCAAGTCTCTTCCTCCCGGTGAGAAGGTTGGTAACATCATTCATGATTTTTACGTGCCCGGCACTAGTACAAATAGTAACTCATTTGCACATTCCCAGCAACCCTAGGAAGTAGGTACTTAAACTATCATCATTTTATGAGTGAGATCCCGGGAGACCTGAGGCAGGAAGTTGGATCGATGGCATTGGAATCCGGCAGTGGGACCTCCAGGGACCAGGCTCTTACCGGCTCAGATGCGCTGCTGTAGGCTTGCTCTCACTTAAGCTGAGCGGACCTCTAGATGGAATTCCTCAGTGGAGTCACCAACACTTTAGTATGAATTAGCCAACCTCCTCCTGCTGCTGAAGATGAACAATCGCAATGATTTATGAGAAGGAGCCCTGGTGGGGTCGTGTTTACATGGTGGGCTGCTAGCCACAGGTCAGCCGTTGGAAACCACCAGCTGCCCCATGGGAGAAAGACAGGGCTTTCTACTCCCATGAAGTTGCAGTCTCAGAAACCCACAGGGGCAGTTCGACCCCGCTCTGTAGTGTCCGTGTGAGTTGGCATCGAGTCGCTGGCGGGGAGAGATGGTTCATAAGGACACTGTGGCAGAGGAGTTACCTAGGAGAGCTCTGGAGCAGTAATGCCAGGGATTGAAGTCCAGGGACACCAAGTCCCAGTCATGTGGCCTTGAGCAAATAACATTCCTCATCCAGATCCCAGCCGCCTCGTCTGTGAAGCCCCCATGTCCCGGGCAAGGAAAGTGAGGCACAGAGCGGCCCAGCACGCACGTGGCACACCCAAGGTACAAGGCTGCTGGACAGACAGAGGAAGGAGTACAGTGAACCCTCGCCACTTCGCGCTTCGACTTCCGCAGCTTCACTCTATCGCGGTTTTTGCGTCACAGCGCATGCTCTGTCATTACTGCCACTGATTGGCTCATACTGTACACGCTTGATGCCATAAATAATATAATAAATAATACATG